TAGCATGGTATGAAGCGGTATATAAATGAAGCTGCTTTGCTTTGCTTGTGATACTGCTGCTGATTCCAACAACCTCTTGATCTGGTTTATCTGTCTTGGTGTCTCTGAATTGTCAAGGACTTTCATATCTTCTGACTGCTGCATAATCTATTGTTGTTGTGTGCATTCCTTTCTGACCTTTGGTGACCCTAAGATGACCCTATCATGAGGGTTTTTTTGGCAAGACTTGTTCAGATGGGGTTTGCTTTTGCCTTCCTCTAAGGCGGAGAGAATGACTTGCCCAAGGTCACCCAGTGGATTTCCATGTTTGAGTGGGGATTCAGACCCTGGTCTCCAGAGTCACGGTGCAACACTCAAGCTCTTACACCATGCTGGTTTTCACTGCATAGTCTGCTTCTTTTAAATGCCATGCTCTGTCAAAGAGTATTGGCTCCAGTATTTATAAGGGGTGGATCTAGCTATTCTGAGTGAGCAATGCATGCCAGTAAATGCGGGATTTGTAAAAGAAAAAGAAAAAAGGGAAAAGGGAATAACTTATTTGTAACCTGCACTCAATATGGGTGTGTAATCTTCTGCCTCATTACTGCTCATATGCACTGAGCCACTAAATTACTACTGTATTGCAATAAATACCAATGGCCATGGGAAACCACTACCAAGCGGTTGGAAGTATGTACTTAGCTTCATCTGTTGTTGTTTTTAAATACTTCTAACTTCACACAGGCAATACCACTTGTGTATAGAATGAAGTGTGTGTTCTCTACATGCCTAAAATAGAAAATGGAAGCATATGTCATTAAGGCTCTTGATTGCTGAGAATCTTGACAGTTTTCCTAGCATAAGAGGTAAGAGGCTGCTGGTTATATTGCTTATGTTCTTCTTTAACAACAGATGATGATGATTCCTATGTCAGGATGGGAAAATGTGTGGAACTCTGTAGTGGACCTCCCACTTGCCCTAGGCAGCACAGCAAGCAATGAGGGATGATGAGAGTCCAACAATATCTGGAGTGAGCATAATTCTCCCTTAGGACATTTGAGTCTTAAAAAGTAGAGATAGGCAAATGGTGAAAAGTGACTAGCAACCCTACTATCCCTGTCCAGAGTTTTTCTACCTGTCTCTGAAAAACAAAACAAAAGTGTTGTCAGTCAGAGTTTGCTTTATACAGAAATACTTTTCATTTCAGGGCTGTGATGTCCAGCCAGGGTCCATTCCATATTTTTATGTGAGAAGAGTAACATATAGCCAGGGGCTTTGTTATTTAGGGGAGACAGAATTTTACATTATTGTTGAAGCCGTGATTCGAGAATCAAGTGAAGTTTGAAAGTAACATATTAAAAATAACATGACTTTTTAGAGTAAAGGGGGCCTAAAAACTTTCCTTTTACAGAAATAATGTAAAGACCGGCAATGTTACTTTGGGGCATAGTGAATAACATTCATAGGTTACTTCTAACCATTAGTATTGGTAGAAATTTGTGAGGAGTAGGGGTGCTTAAAATTATTTTTCTGCTTTTGAAGGATTAAAAAAAAATAAATTAAAATATAATACATTAATAATATCTCTGAGAGAGGGACACTAATGCTAGCATGTTAAATTTAAAAAACTGAAGTTCCAAGCTCTTAACTAAAGTATAATATTTGCAGCTGTTCCTAAGACTACTTGCTGGAGATTAGTTACCTCTCAGAGCACTTAAATAATGATAGGGGAGACATATAGATTGATAGATCTCAGGGGGATTTGCAGTAGAAGAAGAATAGGAGTCTCAACTGCTTAACAAAAGCAATAACAAAACGAATTTTACCACTTAAAATTGGGTTGCTGAAATGAAAAAAGCTTGGAGTAAGCAGAAGTCTACTCATGTGTGAAATGGCTATTAATTCTGATTTGAAAACAAATTTCTAGGTTCATAATGGATTTAAAGTATTCTGCTTTTGATTTTAAAGCATATGCTTTTTTATTTAGGTTGTGCTTTTATTTAGGTTGTGCTTGTTTGTTGTTATTGACTGTGGTCAAGTAGATTTTGACTTATGGCAATCCTATGAATGAGAGGAGAGCCTGTGTGGTATAGTGGTGAGAGCTTTGGACCACAACTCTCTAGACCAGGGTTCAAATCCCTGCTCTGCCATGGAAACCCACTGGGTGACATTGGGCAAATCAGCCTCAAAGGAAAGCAAAGGCAAACCCTATCTGAACAAATCTTGCCAAGAAAACCATTGATAAGTTTGCCTTAGGGTCACTATAAGTCAGAAATGGTTTGAAGGCATACAACAACAATGAATGAGAGATCCCCAAATTACCCTATCATAAACAGCCCTGCTCAGGTCTTGTGGATTCAAGGCCATGGCTTTCTTGAGTCTTTTTATCTGGCTATAGTCTTTAGTTTTCAACCATAGGTCTTTATATATCTCAATGGTGCTATAAGATCCTTTTGCATACTAACATCACCAGTTGTTTTGCTACATTGCCCTTAGCACCTCAAAAAAAGAACATTCTAGTAATGTTGTTATTTGCAGCACATTACCTTGAAACAGTACACATGCTATGCACTTACTTTAGATTGTTAATAATTCAGCTAGCTTCTAGAGATATTCCATCTGTTCTTTGCACACAGGCAGCAAAAAGAAGACATTTGTGGGATATTTTTAGTAGAAAGAATGTATAGAATCCCAGTAATATTCCCAGCTCTAATCTGGCAAGGACTTATCTTTATGTCTTGTGGGGGTTAATCTTGAGAATAAGAGTATGTATATTCATACATATGTACACAAGATACAAACTAGCTTTAATCTGATTTCATGCAAGTGCTGGCTTATATTAGACATTTACAAAGGTCTGGCTCCAAAGCTATGATTTATCTTCCCAGAATTGTTTAATGTATAAATTCCAGCCCTCTGAAAATCTATATGGAATGTTTCATGGAGATAGATTCACTAGACATTAATAAACCACTAATTTGTTCTTATTCTTAGAATGATCATATTGCTCCATGCAGGGACAGCCAATGGGCCAACTCCAGGGGGACCTCAGCCCTAAATGATGGGGGTGGTGTTAGCATATCCAACATGCCCCATGCTGTATATGGAGCTTCCATATTTTCATATCTGGAGCCAGTAATGTTGACCTTTAGAATGCCAGGAGACTTTCCCATGGGAAGGACATGTAAACCCGGAGATACATGAAGGATTCAGGTAATACAAGATACAAGCTAAATGGATTTGCTGTCCTCCATCCCCCAGGCTCTCCACACATCCTCTCACACTAAAAGCAAAGGCGAGTGACCCAAAACTTCCTATCAACTCTCTGCTATATTCCCAGCCAAGGTCCCTATCCATTTATTTTGGGATTGTCCTAAATCCAATAGCTGTTTTTGTTACGCCAAAGTTAAAGCCATCAGTCATCCCATTGTTGATTCCCTAGGCAGACCATCAGGTCTTTGTTATATTGCAAAATATCACCTAGCACCCCTCAGGGCTAGGATCTCAGATATAAATATCAGCCCCAAACTAGCTTCTTCAAGCACACTAATAATGATCATCTGTATCACTAGCAACCTGGAATTCAAGGCTATTGTATGTTTCAGAATGTTAGCATGCTGGATCCCATAGAGATGCTGCCAAAATGGCTTCAGCTCCACGGAGCAGCTGTCAGTGCTTTAAAAAAAATAGCTAGCCACATGGTTTGAGCTAATTACAAGGAGACTTTCCACATCAGTGCCAAGTCTGAGTATTGCTGATGTAGGGAACCTTTAAAGTTAACCCATGTAAAAATCTCTTCCAAACATTAGCATTTGCAATGTGGAGTGCTACCTAAGTTTTTTGTTATTTTGGGACTACAACTTCCAGAATCCCCCAATTAGCAGGGTCACATTTCTAAGCACTAATGATGACAGCAGCATGTTTACTTTATCATGTTTAGGGTTGCCAGATTGAAAACTATAGATGGCTCCTGAATTTTTAATGGCTAGGTAGAAGGAACCACTTCAGTAGATATTACTTGTCAAGCAACCAGGTAACAAGCAATGCCTACTGAATTCCCTTTTCTTCATAATCAAAGGTGCAGGAGTTGTCTCCAGTTCTCCTTCTGGCAACCCTTTTCATGCTCCTGCCCAGCCACATTTTATAGAATATGAGGTTTGTTTTTATTCATTTTTTGTTTTATTCCTCTCTTTCCTCAAGTGGGCTCAAGACATCATACGTGGCTTTCTTCTACCTCACTTTATCCTTTGCACAGTAGATCAGGCTGGCCAAGCATGAGTGGCTGAAAGTCACTGTGATATTCGAAATTTATACAGAAGTTGTGTTTGGATTATGTCAAATAATTCAAACATAATCTGTATAAGGTAAATGGTCTGTTGGGAAGGGTGAGAACATGGAGAGTTGGAGGTGATTGGTAATTGGGAGTTTGAATGTGCTTTTTAAAATGTGTGTTGGTTAGTTAGGGATCACATAACAGGTTAAGCAAGAATTAAGTTAGTTGAGTATATGAGTCTGTGAAAGAAAGAAAACAGAGCAGGTAGTTCAGTTAGTACAACCAGGGAACAGAGCAGGGAGTGGAAATCTGCAAGGTGTCTTTGAGGAAGGCTAATTAGAATAAGAATATATGTAACTGTAACAACTTAGCTAAAACATTGTAACCAGAGGCATTTGAACAAGAAGTAATAGGTCTCCTTATCCACAGATGTTTTTATCCATGGATTCAAGCATCCATGGTTTGAAAATATTCTAAAAATTATAAATTCCAGATAGCAAACCTTGATTTTCCATTTTATATTAGAGACACCATTTTGCTATGCCATTATATTAAAAGGGGCTTGAGTGTCCACGAATTTTGTTATCCATGGGGGATCCTGGATAACCCTACTGTAGTTTCATTCACTTCTTCTGTTAAATAAAATGTATTGTTTATGCATGACTTTTAGGGTTGCTACACTGAGACTAGGTTATTGATAAGGTCAGGGACAGTGGTGTGTCTGGTGGCAGTGGATAAACAATGGTGATTGCTATATTTGGTAAATAATGCAGGGTTTGGAAAGCAATCCACAAAGAAAGAGGCAACAGCTACTTTTAAATTAGGTAGAGTGTTCACAGAAGGTGAGAGAAGCTTAGAAAATCAGATGGAGGTTATCACAATTGATAACAATAGTGTGACAAATAAAAATCTTCACAAGCACCCACTGAGTTTCCCAGCACAGTTGGAGACAGAACCTGGATCTGCCAAGTCCCAGTTTAATACTCTGAATATTACATGTAAAGGCTGACATTAAACTGAGCACTGAACCAGTTCCTGATTCTTTCTTTCTTGACTGCTTGCCCAAACTCATTTTTACCTCTTTGATATCATAAGCTATGGTGCCTATGGGAGGGAGCTCGCCTTCTGTCACCTGCTTACCCTGTACCTCCTGGTTTATATGTGAACAAGACAAATAGTTACACTAACATGGCTGGCAATGACATCTCTCTTCTGTTGACCCTTCTTGGATTCTTTACCGTCTGGCCCCTTTTAAGAATTTGCAAGCTAAATGGATGAGTTCTTCATCTTCTTCCCTCTGTGGTAATGTAAAGATGTGAAGGTGAGCAGACAAATAAGGTAAAACTGGGAACAGAGCTCCCCATTGTCTTTTATTTTTGCTGTTTTAAATTATTTCAGATCTCAACATAACATGTTTTAAGATGAGCTGTCGAGATATAGCTACCTGACCTTTACTCTCAGAATGATTTCTAAGCAGACTGAGGACTCTTGAATGGAACCATCAGTGATCAGAAATAATACTGGGCAGTCTTTTCCCTACTCAGGGCAAGGCTTTCCCTGACTAGGAAGGCTAAAAGGCTGGTGAAGTGCTAACTGAATGACACAACTTGGAAGAGCACTCTTTAGGACTGTGCGGCACTGTTCATGCCTTAGCTTCCTTACATCTTCTGGATCAGGCTGAGCAAAATACTAGGAATTCCCACTGTTATCTCCAATCACTGATTTCTATCCCCACTTCAGTGGGGCCTGGGGAATAGGTGGGACCAGTGAGAAGGATCTCACTGGGCTTGAGGTTTGCATTTCCGTATTAACCTGCAGTCCTTGAGGATTTTAGCTCCCAGAATTCCTCACCATTAGCTATGCTAGCTATGGCTGCTGAGTATTATTGTCCAATAATATCTGGAAGGCATTATGATTCCCACCCCAGTATAAATACTTCGATATAATTGAAACCCAATACAGCTCTAAGATGACAGGATCATTGAAGGCCCTTTTCACCCAGAGCATCATTTATTCTAGTCTTGTATGGATTAGAAGAGAGTCAGTGTGGTGTAATGGTTTGAGCATTGGACTAGGACTAGGACACTGGGAGACTAGGGTTCACATCCCATGGAAACTTATTGGCTGACCTTGGGCAAGTAACGCTGTCTCAGCCTCAGAGAATGTCAATGTTAAATACCA